TATTTTGTTCAATACAGACTTCATTTGAACTTTGATATAAAAGGTGTAAGCTTCTCATCACATTACCCACAGAACTGACCGATACACTCCTTCCCAACCCCCTCAACTGCAGCTACTTTTTATTTATTTATTTATTTATTTTGTAAGTACATGCGTTCGGAGTCAGGGAAGAAATTGATGATTCAACACCAAGTTTCGCCATTTTTTTTAATCAAAATTTTGTTGTGTTTTTCCTAAGTCGTCTCTCCCACCCTCTCCCTCCCTCTCTCTGTCCGTCCCTCTCTCTCTCTCTCTCTCTCCATCCCTCTCTCTCTCTCTCTCCCAACCTCTCTCTCTCTATCTCCCTCCCTCTCTCTCTCCCAACCTCTCTCTCTCTATCTCCCTCCCTCTATCTCTCTTCCTAAACTCTCTCCCTCCCTCCCTCCGTCCCTCCTCTCATCTCTCTCTCTCTCTCTCTCTCTCTCTCTCTATCTCTCTCGTGCGTATTACAATCGATATTTGACTTTCCAATAACGCAGTAACCTTCATTTTTACAGTTCTTTCGGCAAATAGTAAATCCTATCAAGTCATGCCTTTGGCTTCTATATATATATATATAGATAGATCCATTTTATTTTATACCAACGGATTTGTATATATATATATATATATATATATATATATATATATATATATATATATATATATATATATATATATATACAAATCCGTTGGTATAAAACCCAAATGGATCCTAGTAATACAAATTATTAAAACTGATCCACAAAAGAGCTCAATGTATTTATTATTACAGAGCAATATAATTAATAAACAATAAGATTCCAAATTACTTCACATGGAGAATATTCTATTTCAACAGACGAAGATATCGGTCGTCTGCCTTACCGAAATAGACTATTCCCCATATGAGTTAATTTGGGATTTTATTCATTATATATATATATATATATATATATATATATATATATATATATTAAGACATTTTTATGTTTAACATTCTTTTTATAGAAACAAATATTTAAGTAAATGCTCTGTTTATATTAAACAGTATTAAATAACATTTACCGGCCTGATTGTTCGAGAAATTTTCACAGAAAATATTCGTCCTCCGAAAGTATTCAAACCTGTATCCTATACGGAACCGTCATTTAGCTTGACGTGCCTTAACCGATTTGGCCACGAAGGTTAGCAAGGTCGAATTTGCTGTATTTAAACTTCAATCTTCTATGAATCTCTCACCTACATTCATATCTGCTCATGGCATATCAAATGTAAACAAATGACGTCACACATTATGAAATGGACAAAGTCCGACAATTATTTTAAGGCCGGTAAATGTTGTTTAATACTGTTTATTATAAACAGAGCATTTACTTAAATATTTGTATCTAAAGAATGTTAAACATAACAATGTCTTTTAAAATAATTGTCGGACTTTGTCCATTTTATAATATATATATATATATATATATATATATATATATATATATATATATATATATATTGAATCCATTGCTAGGTCAGCTGTTAAGAAAGTTGGTTCACTATGTCGGGCTAGATAATTTTTCTCTCCAAAATCTATCTTACATATCTATAATGCTTAGAATATTGCTGCCACATTTGGTCTGCCCCTGCTATTTACCTTGGGCTCGTTGATAAAATCCAAAGAAGAAACTGCAATATTATTGGTCCGGATTTGGCAGCTCGGCTTCAGTCACTTTCCCGCTGCTGCAGGGTTGCCTCTCTGTGTCTTTTCTATAAATACTTTCATTGTAAATGTTCCAGTGTGCTCTTAGCTATGGTACCTAGACTTTATGAATTTAAGCACAGTCCTAGACTGGCGTCGGGATCTCATCAATTTACCGTTGAGTTGAATAACCCTAAGTTCTGGGTTTTCTTTTCTTACACGTTTCGATTATGGAACTCCCTTCCGACTCCATGCTTTCTAACCAAGATTAATCTGCAAAAATTTAAAGCAATGTCAATCGCTATCTACTGCCCTCCTGATTACTCACTTCTCTTCCCTCTCATCATTAATGTTTCTGTTCCTTCTTCTTCCACAACCTATAACCTCTTGTGTCTTAGTGGCTTTACTGCCTTACTTGTCGAACTCCCTTCCGTCTCCATGCTTTCTAACCAAGATTAATCTGCAAAAATTTGAAAGCAATGTCAATCGCTATCTACTATCCTCCTGATTACTCTTTTCTCTTCCAACTCATCATTAATGTTTCTGTTCCTAATTCTTCTACACCCAGCAGTAACCCTTTGTGTCTTAGTGGCTTTACTGCCTTGCGTGGGGTGATAATGATTAAAAATATACATAATTCGGACTTTGCTAACCAGATATTCTTCTGTAGCTGAATGGGACGGCACATCAGGCCAAATGACGGTTTCCATATGGAAATACAGGCTCGATTCTTGTCGGAGAACGTGTATTTTCTGTGAAATTTCTCGAACATTCAGGCCGGTAAATAGAATTCATTTTGCTTAAGTAAAAACAGAGCATTTGCTTAAATAAATTGTATCTTTAAAAATAACGCATAAAACAGAAAATATATTAAGATAATTGTCGGACTTAATCCATTTCTTTATATGTTGTCATTGTTTACGTTAAGTTACGTTTCGTGAGCGGACATGGTCGATTGAGAAAAATCGTCGAAGATTGTGTGTTTATAAACAGTAATTCGGACTTTGCTAACCGGACGCTTCTCCGTAGCTGAATGGTACAGCACGCCAGTTCAAATGACGGTTTCCGTTTAGTAATACAGGTTCGATTCCTGTCAGGGAATGCATGTTTTCTACAAAATTTCTTGACCATTCACAACGGTAAGTGTAAATTGTAATTAATTAAAAACAGAGCATTTTCTTAAATAAACTGTATCTATAAAAATAACATTTAAAAAGAAAATATATTAAACAATTGTTGGACTTAATCAACTTCATTATGTTTGTACTGTGTAACAGCAAAATTGTTCCAATTGCGTAATAGCAAGATTGTCCAATTGTTAGATTAAGCTCTGAACTGTTGTATCTTAGAAATGATTAAAGATATCTTACTGGAATTCTCTAGGGTTTTTATAACACTACTGGACTTTACTTTGACCAATAAAAATGTATAATTACTCTCCAAGTTTAACAAAAGAACTGTAATGAAATCCCTCATAAAAGGAAATGAGATGTTCATCATTAATTAATCATAGCTAAGGATCGGAAGCTAATGAAGGATTGAAATAAAGTTTATATATCTTTATATCTTTAACGCTTGCCGAAATTCATATTCCTTCTTCGCTTCTTTCTTTCTTTCTTTCTTTGCTCCCAGAAATTAACATTCTTTCTTTCTTTCTTTCTTTCTTTCTTTCTTTCTTTCTTTCTTTCTTAACCTAAATTCACATTCTTGCTTCTTTCTTTTTTTCTTTCTTTCTTTTTCTTTCTTTCTTTTTCTTTCTTTCTTTTTCTTTCTTTGCTAACCTAAATTCACTTTCTTTCTTTCTTTCTTTCTTTCTTTCTTTCTTTCTTTCTTTCTTTCTTTGCTCCCAGAAATTCATATTCTTTGTTTGATTCTTTCTTTCTTTCGTTCTTTTTTCTTTCTTTCTTTCTTTCTTTCTTTTTTTTCTTTTTTTCTTTCTTTCTTGCTCCCAGAAATTCATATTCTTTGTTTGATTCTTTCTTTCTTTCGTTCTTTTTTCTTTTTTTCTTTCTTTCTTTCTTTCTTTCTTTCTTTCTTTCTTTTTTTTTGTTAACCTAAATTCACGTTCTTGCTTCTTTCTTTTTTTCTTTCTTTCTTTCTTTGCCTCCGAAATTCAAATTCCTTCTTCGTTTCTTTCTTTCTTTCTTTCTTTCTTTCTTTGCTTCCAGAAATTCTTTCTTTTTTCTTTCTTTCTTTCTTTTCTTTCTTTTTCTTTTCCTAAATTCACATTCTTTGCTAACTTCTTTTTTTTTCTTTCTTTTTTTCTTTCTTTTCTTTTTTTCTTTTCTTTTTTCTTTTCTTTCTTTCTTTCTTTTCTTTCTTTGCTAACCTTCAAATTCACTTTCTTTCTTTCTTTTTTCTTTCTTTCTTTCTTTCTTTCTTTCTTTCTTTCTTTCTTTCTTTGCTCCCAGAAATTCATATTCTTTGTTTGATTCTTTCTTTCTTTCGTTCTTTTTTCTTTCTTTCTTTCTTTCTTTCTTTCTTTCTTTCTTTGTTAACCTAAATTCACATTCTTGCTTCTTTCTTTTTTTTCTTTCTTTCTTTCTTTGCACTCCGAAATTCAAATTCCTTCTTCGTTTCATTCTTTCTTTCTTTCTTTGCTCCCAGAAATTCACATTCTTTCTTTCTTTCTTTCTTTCTTTCTTTCTTAACCTAAATTCACATTCTTGCTTCTTTCTTTTTTCTTTCTTTCTTTTTCTTTCTTTCTTTTTCTTTCTTTCTTTCTTTCTTTCTTTCTTTGCTAACCTAAATTCACTTTCTTTCTTTCTTTCTTTCTTTCTTTCTTTCTTTCTTTCTTTCTCATTTTCCCATCACAATATTCTACCTACTCTTTTTTTTTTATTTCTTTTCTTTCTTCCTCAAACTCTCATTTCTTTCTTTTGTTATTTTTTCTTTCGGTTCAAATTTTCTTCTTTTTAAATTTCTCTGTTTATTTATTTACTTATTCATTTATCAGTTTTATAATTCTTCATCTCCCTCTTTCTCTTTTTAATTCTTTTTTAAATGTTCTTCTTTCTTTTCTTCCTTCTATACTTCATTCGTCGTTCCAAAATTCTCTTTTATTACAGCTTCCATCATTTTTTCTTCCTTCTATGGCTTCTTTTCGACTGATTTTTCTCGGATTCTTTCATTCCGGTTTTTACAAAGAACCTTCCTCTTCCTGTTCTCCTTCGGCGCCATCTTTTTCGCTCGCTAATTATTTTCTATTCCAACGACTTAACCAACGAACCAGAATGACTACTACAATACCTTTAAAACGACAAGGACTATTTTTGGAAGCTACCAATTGGACAGAAACGCACTGACAAACACATAAACGTAATAGTCTATGAAAAGGCAAAAGTTGTAAGTTTGTTTTTTTCTTGGGGATACAAAAGTTTGTCTCTGACAAATTAATGTATAATGTCTTGGGCAATTTCTTATTAGTAGTTTTTGTGGCTTTCCTTCTAACGACGAAGATCATTTCTAATTTCGCAGACGTAGAAAATGTTTAATGAAAAACTGCTGATTAATCTCCCGTCAGAGAAAGAAAGAAAGAAAAATAGCTGTCATGTCTCCCGTGCATACCAAAAGGAAAGCCAATATAAAGTGTATCTGATTAAATGAATGAGACACCGAGTTATTGAAACTTTTCACATCAAAACAAGAACAAAAAAAAATCAAAAGTAATACTCTCACTAGAGAAACACTGTATAAAAAATATACAATGCGTGATGGGTAAATTGTCGCCATTTTATATTTTTAATTTCGCGCATGCGCATTGTTTATTTGTTTATTTCTTTTATTTTGTTGACTGCACAGTATAGTAGGGTCAGTTTGGAACCGTCTGTAAGAAAAAGAGCACCATGATGCAATTCACTCCAAGAGAAATTTGGAAACAGCAGGCTGTTCTGCTTGGATGAGTCTAATGACGATTACGAAGGTGTCTGAGGTGATCACTAGTGATAGTGACGTATAGGCCTCCATTCATCTTCCCACAGGGCCTCAGATTCAACACGGAGGCCAACATCAAGTGCCTTGAGGAGGTAGTGCTGCCTTGAGTCAAGAGGGTGGCTGCTGGAAGACCCTATGTCTGGCAACAGGATTATGCACCATGCTAAGCAAGCAGGAAAACCCCGTCATGTCTTCGAGACAATTTCTGCGACTAAATAACCCCTTGCATCTGGCCATCTAACTCTCCAGACTGCACCCCCACTTGATTATTATGTGTAGGGTGCAGTTGAGCAAGAGACCAGCAAAAGTCCTGATAACACCAAAGATGAACTGAAAGCAAGGATTATGGCAGCATTCACCATACTTAAACAATGCGACCAACCAGATGAGTTACAGGAGATTCCGAAGTCACCTGGAGGCCATGGTTGAAACCAATGGCGAATTTATTAAAGAAATTTCCTCTTTAGCACTTCAAGATAGTTTTCTATAATTTTGGGAAATATAACTTAAAATGTGATTCCAGAGTTATTTTCATTTTAATATCATTGAGACAATTTATCCATCGCACTCTATATATAAATGTATGGCTGGCCTCACGTATGCCTACCTCTAGGTTGGCTAGTTAATATCTGTCGCAGATACCTGCTCAGTAACACTGTGGTTTATATTGCAACTACAGATCTTAGTTACAGTTTCTTTTTGGTTTGTTTTGTTTTACGGCATATTTTAGGATAGATTCGTATGAATAGAATATGTATTATTTGGTTTAGATTGGTTATCAACCTCAATGGGTTATTTAATGTTTTTTATTTTAAATAGAATATGTTTTTTGGTTTACGGCATTATCAATCACCTCAATGGGTTATTTAATGCCGACAACATTTTAGGATAGATTCATAGTATGAATAGAATATGTATTCTTTGGTTTAGATTGGATTTTGGTTTTAGTATTTTTTTTTATTTGGTTTAGATTGGTTAGTTTTTTATTTGTTTTAACCTCAATGGATTATTTAATGCCGACAACATTTTTAGGAATAGATATGATTCGTTGAATAATGGGTTATTTAATGCTTTTTAGGATAGATTCAAGAATGAATATGTTTCTTTGTTTATTTTTGTTTTTTTGTTTTACGGCATATCAAACTCAATGGGTTATTTAATGCCGACAAACTTTTTTTTAGTTCCTATGAATAATATTATTTTTGTTTTGATTGGTTTGGTTTAAATCTATTTCTGGAAATATTTTTTTTTTTGTTCCTCAAAAATCTATTGTATTTTTTTCCTCAAAATTGTATAGCTGCTAATATTATTTTCAAAAACGTATTACTGGTAATAGTTTTTGTTTGTTTGTTTTTTCAAAACGCATTTTTTTGTATAGTTTTTGTTTGTGTGTTCATTATTTGTCCATAGCAGGGACTCTAAAAGTTGCTACCATCATAGGTCAGGGTGGACCTGGGAACAACAGAAATTAAGAAGTACTACCACGCTACTAAAAACCTCTTATTTTCCGATCAGAAGTCTTGCTGCTGGATGTAGTTTATCGTCAAACCCAGGACTATTGAAGACAAAAAGTATAGTGGAAAGCGATGAATAACCTATCTACCAAGCTTGCTGGTTGGTAGTAGGGGGAGCAAAAAGGAGGGACAGCAAAGAGACAACCCTCACTTAGTAATACAGGGGATATGATGTTGTGGAGAGCCACAATCTCCCACGTCCTTAACAAACAGACTGAGCGTGTTATTTGCAGTTGGAAACCAGCCTAGGAGAAGGAAAATTTTGAATTCTAAACTCTATGTAGCCCAGTCGACGCATATATTACACAACGCTGAAAATAATTACAGAGTTAACAGTGACTCTATAACTTCGACTTTGATGAGGTACGCCTTTTAGCCTCATTGGGTACCACGTAACAATCGCCCTGTGCCAGAGCTAAAATTATTTTCTCCTTTTAATTTGAACATATGACTTGCAGCTTTTGCACGTAAAAATATTTTCAGTCAGTTATGTGCCATGCGTGATACATACTTAGGCGATCATGTATCTTTCGATACATGACTGACGAGGCAGATTTTTTCCTGCAGTAGATTGCCATTTCTTTCTGCGGTAAACTAGTTGCCATTCTTCTATTTGCCCATAGTAAGAAGAAGAGGATTCATATCTTTCCCATGGGTACTAGCATGTTATTGAATGTAATGGATTCGACTGGAAAGTCAGTCAGTCAGTTATGTGCCATGCGTGATACATGCTTAGGCGATCATGTATCTTTCGATACATGATTGACGAGGCAGATTTTTTTCAATAGGTTGCCATTTCTTTCTGTGGTAGACCAGCTACCAAGGCTATATAACTGTCTCTATCCTGCTATTTACCCATAGAAGGGAGCAGAAGAAGAGGGTCCATACGTTTCCTAAAGATATTAGCAGGTACGTGAAATTCAGTCAATTATCTGTGATACACGATTAGGCGATCATGTATCTTTCGATATATGACTGACGAGGTAGGTTGCCATTTCCTTCGACGGTAGACCAGCTACCATCCAAGGCTATAGAACCAAGTCTGTCCCATAACTAGGGAGAGAAGAAGAGGATTCATACCTTTCCCAAGGGTTTTAGCACGTAAGTGAATGTAATGGATTCGACTGGAATTCGAACTCGGCTCTCCGATTCTTCAATCCAAGCCGCTGTCCATTACGTGCCTCCTGGTTATAAATCTGAAAAGTGTTATGGTCCGGTTCCTTGTACCACGGTGATAGTCCAAGGTAGAACCAATAAAGAAGAACTCGAACACGGATATGGAATAACACAGATATATTACAAACAGGGATATATACAGAGAAGTAGAAAGTGTTAGTACTAACAATCAGGTTTAGTAGAGAGAACAATGTAGTCTCGACCAGTATCACTATTCCAATGTCTTGCAGTAATTGTCTAAACGCGACTCTGTTTCAGACTGCCTCTGACTTGCTCGCTCTGACTGACTGACAGACTCCTGACAAACCTCACCCCAGACTTCAGACTGAACAGGCTATAGAACCCAGTCTGTCCTGCTATTTACCCACAGCTGGAGGGAGAAGAGGATTCACACCTTTCCCAAGGGTATTAGCACGTAAAGTGAATGTAATGGATTCGACTGGAATTCGAACTCGGCTCTTCCATTCCTCAATCCAAGCCACTATCCATTGCTCTAACGTGCCTCCTTTAATAATAAATATTTTTAAAATATTTTACAATTTTAATAATCGGAAATATATTATTCAGACGTATTCATTTTTTTTCCTATTTTGAAATTATTCCATTATATTAATTGGCCAATTACTATAAGAGATAGCAGTCAAGATTCTGGTATTGCCGGTCAGTTTCAAAATCATAAGCTGCAAGTGGTTGCGAAGGCAATAGAGGTCGTTGGGTACATGTTGCGCCTGATTTCGTATGAGGATTTATTCTTGCATTCGTGTAAGAAGAGATTCAAAGATTGCATCTTGGAGGAGAAAAATTTGGCTGATTTTTTTTTTTTTTTGATTTTTTTTATCAACCAAACATGCCATTTACGAGATTACGTCATTATAGGAAATGGTGATTTTTTCCCTTCCAATCTATCTATCTATCTATCTATCTATCTATCTATCTATCTATCTATCTATCTATCTATCTATCTCAGTCTCTTCATATCTATCTATCTATCTATCTATCTATCTATCTATCTATCTCAGTCTCATCATATCATTCTATCTATCTATCTATCTATCTATCTATCTATCTCAGTCTCTTCATATCTATCTATCTCAGTTTCTTCATATCTATCTATCTATCTATCTATCTATCTATCTATCTATCTATCTATCTCAGTCTCTTCATATCTATCTATCTCAGTTTCTTAATATCTATCTATCTATCTATCTATCTATCTATCTATCTCAGTCTCATCATATCTATCTATCTATCTATCCATCTTTCTCAGTCTGTTCATATCTATTTATCTATCTATCGATCTCAGTCTGTTCATATCTATCTATCTATCTATCTATCTATCTATCTCAGTCTCATCATATCTATCTATCTATCTATCTATCTATCTATCTATCTATCTATCTATCTCAGTCCCATCATCCCTATCTCTTCATCCATCTATCTATCTATCTATCTATCTATCTATCTATCTATCTATCTCAGTCTCATCATATCTATCTATCTTTCTCAGTCTGTTCATATCTATTTATCTATCTATTGATCTCAGTCTCTTCATATCTATTTATCTATCTATCGATCTCAGTCTCTTCATATCTATCTATCTATCTATCTATCTCAGTCTCTTCATATCTATCTATCTATCTATCTATCTATCTCAGTCTCATCTATCTATCTATCTATCTCAGTCTCATCATATCTATCTCATCTCTTCATATCTATCTATCTATCTATCTCAGTCTCATCATATCTATCTATCTTTTCTCAGTCTGTTCATATCTATTTATCTATCTATTGATCTCAGTCTCTTCATATCTATCTATCTATCTATCGATCTCAGTCTCTTCATATCTATCTATCTATCTATCTATTAATCTATCTATCTATCTATCTATCTATCTATCTATCTATCTATCTATCTATCTATCCCAATCTGTTCTGATCTATCAATCTATCCCAGTCTGTTCTGATCTATCTATCTATCTATCTATCTATCTATCTATCTATCTCAGTCTATTCATATCTATCTACATGACACGGCTGACTAGGTTACAGGATGCAGTCGTGATGTGAAGACGATTCGGATGAGGAACAAAGTTTTGTGTTCAACTAAGCAAAAAAGCAACATACATTTATGAAATACTCCAGAGTGTTTACGGATTTATTTGTATGAGTCGAGAATATATTTTTCGCTGGCACAAGAGTTTCAAGAACGATAGAGACGATATGGTGAGGGCCAGATGGATGTTCGAAGATCAGAGGTGTTGTCAAGGATCCTGGACATCTTAACTTAGGATGATTTCTATGGGGCCTTCACGAAATGGCTGGAGAGCTACAGCAGAGGCATTGAACAGTCAGCGAATCCTACTTTTAAGGGGATTTGAGATGTGTTCTTTCTTTGAAATTAATAAATGGCTCTCCTGGAAATGTCTGAAAACTTCTGGAATGTACCCCGTCAATTCTCTAAAATTCTCTTTCTGCACGTCGAAACATGGTCATCAGAAAATGAAAGAAAAATGCTTAGAAAAACGATCTTGTTATCTACTTTCGTGGACAAAAACGTCAAGAAAACAATTGATCAAATAAAGACCCCCTCTGGGCGCAGTCATGTCCAGGCAAGCAAGCCAACAACAACAAAAAATATTATGAAAAGAAATTAGGCCTGATTTTCTTTCATAAATCAACAACGTGCAAACTGCTTAATCTATATTTTGACACATGATTAGGAATACCTGGATTTACCAGGGATCATTCTTTCTATTTTTAACGTCGAATTTACATGAGATTATGGCTTTCAACAAATTCTTTATTATCTAGGATTTGCCATTACTAAGGAAATTGTTATATACCGTACCTATGAACACTAATGGGTATGTCCCAGTTCTCATGAATATGTTGGATATTATTGTAAGTGGGGATAATATGCTAAGTGGTGCACCACTACTAGTGGTTTACCTACTTCACGCCGCTGGCGAGTATTGTATTTTATTGATGTTATAAAGATTACCATTTCATTTCCAAACTCCGTTTTGGTTATTCCTCATTCAGTAACCCTTTCTAAGTTGCAACAGAAATATAGAATGGTAGTTTCTTGCTACCTTTTCCACGATTTGAAATAAAGATTAAGTAATCTGTGAGTGGTACAAAACATTACTATCACTACAAAAGGAAGCGCTGCCAACGTTTGATATATTTGTCTATGGAAGAAAATACACGCTGGGTGTACGCAAAGGCTGATTTGTGTGCCACACCGAGAGGCCTGGAGAGACGATCGTGCTGACAGCTGACGGGAAAATACTAGAATACTGTGGGCGAGTTCGGGTCCAGTTGGGTATAAGTGGCCTTAGAACCGGTATACGTTGAATACCTGGTCTTAGGCAAGCGGATATTGAGGTTTAACCTCATACTTGGGATTGACGCTGTAAGGACGGCCGGTGGTGTTACCAACAGGTCAGCAGGAATATGAGCTTTGCCGAGAAGAAGGCGACCGTGTATGCAGCAATCTGTCTGGATGAGCGAGATTTCCGTGCGGAGTTCGACCAAACACAGAATCATTGGTCTAATAAGTGGAAATGGTCCTTTCGCCAGAGTTTCGGCACAATAACATATCGGACTACCAAGTTTCCAAATGTCTTAGAAGGAGCTACGAAGCCTAAATAGATTGTAGTTGATTTGAAGTAATATCTCAAGTTCAAAGAAAGAAAAACTGTTTAATAGTGAAAATACAATAAAATACAAGTTCAAAACAAATCAAACTGTTTGATAATTGAAAACATTTGTAAAATCCAAGTGTAGTGCAGAAAGAAATATTGCAATCAAGTATCTTACACTATTTACATTATTCGGACTATTGTCCTCATCTTTGTCGAAGGCCGAAACGTTGTGTTAAATATGGCGACAAAGATGGGGACAATAGTCCGAATAATGTAAATAGTGTACATAATACCTCATCTCAGAAATATAGACAGATACTGAAAGGCCGAAACGTTGTAATAAATATGGCGACGAAGATCAGGACATTAGTCCGAATAATGTAAATAGTGTACATAATATCTCATCTCAGAAATATAGACAGATACTGAAAGGCCGAAACGTTGTAATAAATATGGCGACGAAGATCAGGACATTAGTCCGAATAATGTAAATAGTGTACATAATACCTCATCTCAGAAATATAGACAGATACTGAAGGGCCAAGACGTTGTAATAAATATGGCGACAAAGATGAGGACAATAGTCCGAATAATGTAAATAGTGTACATAATACCTCATCTCAGAAATATAGACAGATACTGAAGGGCCAAGACGTTGTAATAAATATGGCGACAAAGATGAGGACAATAGTCCGAATAATGTAAATAGTGTACATAATACCTCATCTCAGAAATATAGACAGATACTGAAGGGCCAAGACGTTGTAATAAATATGGCGACAAAGATGAGGACAATAGTCCGAATAATGTAAATAGTGTACATAATACCTCATCTCAGAAATATAGACAGATACTGAAGGGCCAAGACGTTGTAATAAATATGGCGACAAAGATGAGGACAATAGTCCGAATAATGTAAATAGTGTACATAATACCTCATCTCAGAAATATAGACAGACACTGAAAAACCGAAACGTTGTAATAAATGTGGTGACAAAGATGAGGACAATAGTCTGAATAATGTAAATAGTGTACATAATACCTCATCTCAGAAATATAGACAGATACTCAAGAATCTTACGTCCAATATCAAGAATTCCCAGCACATGTCTCCCCGCTATCAATCCCCTGCAATCCAAACATCTGATTAAAATATAGCGTACTGAAAAAAATGCTCTTCGTTTATATCCGTCAACATGCTTGCGCACGCAAATCACTAACACATTTTTTTTTAGGTCTTTGTCTCGCGCATGCGCTATGACGAAATTAACCAAATGTAAACCTGGTTTCCCTTCACTACACACGGATATGTTAAAATATGTGTAAAACAATATACAATAATAAATGTAAACGATTATATAAAGTATAAAATGAAATTTCATATGTGACGTCATTTGTTTACAATTGGATACGCTTTGAGTAGATATGAATGTACGTGAGAGATTCATGGAAGATTGTAGTTTAAAGGCAGTAAAATCGACCTTGCTAACCGAACGCTCCTCTGTGGCCGAAACGGTTAAGGCACGTCAGGCTATATGACGGTTCCGTATAGGATACAGGTTCGATTCGCGGAGGACGAATATTTTCTATGACAATTTCGATTGGCGGAGGACGAATATTTTCTATGACAATTTCTCGGACATTCAGGTCGGTAAATCTTGTTTAATACTGTTTATTATAAAAAACAGAGCATTTACTTAAATATTTGTATCTATAAAAAATATATAAAGTATAAAATGAAATTTCATAATGTGTGACGTCATTTGTTTACATTTGGATACGCCATGAGCAGATATGAATGTAGGTGAGAGAAGGTTGAAGTTTAAAAACAGTAAATTCGACCTTGTTAACCGATCGCTCATCTGTGGCCAAATCGGTTAAAGGCACGTCAAGCTAAATGACGGTTCCGTATAGGATACAGGTTCGATTCCTGTCGGAGGACCCATATTTTCTGTGAAAATTTCTCGGATATTCAGGCCGGTAAATGTTGTTTAATACAGTTTATAACAAACAGAGCATTTACTAAAATATTTTTTATCTATAAAAAAGAATATATAAATATAAAATGTCTAAAAATAATTCTCGGACTTTGTCCATTTCATAATGTGCGTCGTCATTTGTTTACATTTGGATACGCATTGAGCAGATATGAATGTCCGTGAGAGATTCATGGAAGATTAAAGTTTAAAGGCAGTAAATTCGACCTTGCTAACCAAACGCTTCTCTGTAGCCAAATCGGTTAAAGGCACGTCAAGCTAAATGACGGTTCCGTATAGGATACAGGTTCGATTCCTGTCGGAGGATGAATATTTTCTATGAAAATTTCTCGCATATTCAGGCCGGTAAATGTTGTTTAATACTGTTTATTATAAACAGAGCATTTACTTAAATATTTGTATCTATAAAAAGAATGTATAAACATAAGAAAATGTCTTAAAATAAAGTATAATATATAATATAACTGTCTGGTACCCCTGCCGTTCATCTCAAAGTCCGAAGACGGATACGCAAAGTGATCGGTCCTGGCTTGGGATCACAACTGCAGTCACTTTCTCACAGATGTGATGTGGCTTCCCTCTGTCTTTTCTACAAATATTTTCATAGCATCTGCCACGGGTTGATCCAAGCCTTTTGAGTGAAATTGATTAGATGGGACGACTCGAAGGCTATCATTGATTGGGCTAGAATGAAACACAAATCATCTAGCCTTGTTCAAACTATTGATCACCCTAGATGCCCGCTCAGCATAGCTGCAGTAGAATCCAAAAATAGGCTCTGTGTATGTGTTGAATAAGTAACAAATGTGCCTGATCAGGCGTCTACAACAGGGATTGACTAACTGGCCTAGTTACGATGAGCCGGTCATTAAAAGAAGAACCGTACCTATCAAGGGGTGAACAAGTTCTCGAAGTATTTTGGCGCTTCCACATCTCAAAAATGAAATATAAAATTGACTATTATCTATTTGAATTCTGGGATTCAGAATTTTTTTAGAAGTTTTATTTTAATTTTATTTTCATTTTAATGGAAATGGTTTTACTGTTCATTTTTGCATGGTGTTTTTTTTAGTCTAGGAAGAGCATTCAAAGTGAGGAAAAAGAGGCATTTGAACAAGCATTCTACATCCGGAATCTTGTCTTTCATGGACGACGCCTTAACCAGTTCGGCTACGAAAAGCTGATGGGATGTAAAAATTAAATTATATTGTTCATTATGTTGATATTTTCAGATTTTTTTTTTTTTTTTGGAAAATGACTAAATCGCAATAAGAAATTGAAATATTGTTCAATATGTAGAATTTCTAAAGGGTATGCACGGTTTATTGAATTATGATCTTCCATAGTTCCCTTGAATTTGAAAGAAAGAAGGAAAGAAAAGAACGAGATAAAAAATAATTAAAAAGAAAGAAAGAAAGAAAGAAAGAAAGAAAAAATGAATGAATGAATGAAAAATAAAGATATAGCTTAAAAACGAAGAAAGGAAAGAAATAGAAGTAAAAACAAGAGAAAGGACGTACCAAAAAAAAGCGTAAAAGCGAAAGAAAGAGCGTGAAAGAGCGTAAGAAAGAAAAACAGTGTAAAAATGAAGGAAAGAAAGAGCGTAAAAAAGAAATAGAATAAAAACGAAAGAAAGAGTAAAAACAAAATGAAGGAAAGAAAAATAGCGTAAAAAAGAAATCGAATAAAAAAGAAAAAACAAACAAACAAAAAGAAAGAAAAAAGAAAGGAAAAAAAATAAAAAAAAGACTTTAAAAAAAAAGAAAAAGACCGTAAGAAAAAAAAAACGTAAAAACGGAAAAACGTAAAAAGAAATCGTAAACAAAAGAAAGAAACAAACAAACAAAAAAAGAAAGAATGAAAGAAAGGAAAAAGAAAGATATAAAGAAAGCAGCATCGTAAAACAAAAGACAGAAAGACCGTAAGAAAAAATAAACGTAAAAACAAAAGAAAGAAAGAACGTAAGAAAGAAATAACGTAAAAACGAAAAAGGAAAGAAAGAAGAAACAGCGTAAAAACAAAAGAAAGAAAGAAAGAAAAAACAAGAAAGAAATAGAGAAAGAAAGAAACAGCGTAAAAACAGAAGAAAGAAAGAAAGAAAGAAAGAAAGAAGAAAGAAATAGAGAAAGAAAGAAAGAAAGAAAGAAAGAAAGAAAGAAAGAAAGAAACAGCGTAAAAACAGAGGAAAGGAAGAAAGAAAGAAAGAAAAAAGAAAGAAATAGAGAAAGAAAGAAAGAAAGAAACAGCGTAAAAACAGAAGAAAGAAAGAAAGAAAGAAAGAAAAAAGAAAAGAAAAAAAAAGAAAGAAAGAAAGAAAGAAAGAAAAGAAAGCAACGTAAAAACAGAGGAAAGAAAGAAAGAAATAGAGAAAGAAACAGCGTAAAAAACAGAGAAAGAAAGAAAAGAAAGAAATGAGAAAGAAAGAAAACAGCGTAAAAACAGAACAGAAAGAAAAAAAGAAAGAAAAAAAACGAAAAACAGAAAGAAAGAAAGAAAGAAAGAAATAGAGAAAGAAAGAAACAACGTAAAAACAGAAGAAAGAAAGAAAGAAAGAAAGAAAGAAATAGAGAAAGAAAGAAACAGCGTAAAAACAGAAGAAAGAAAGAAAAAGAAAAGTAAAGAAAGAAAAGAAGACAGAAAAAAAGAAAGAACGTGAGTAAAAACAAAAGAAAGACTGCAAGAAATAAATAGGCTAAAACCAAAAAAAGGAAAGAAATAGCGTAAAAATGAAAGAAAGAAAGAAAGAAAGAAAGAAAAAGAAAGAAAGAAAAGAAATAGAAAAAAGAAAAGAAAGATATAAAAAAGAATGAAAAGAAAACCAAAAAAAGAATGAAATAGCGTAAAAATGAAAAGAAAAAAAAGATATAAAGCATAAAAACAAAAGAAAAAGAAAGAAACAGCATAAAAACAAAAGAAAGAAAGACCGTAAGAAATAAATAGCATAAAAACAAAGAAAGGAAAGAAAGAAGAATTAGGGTAAAAACGAAAGAAAGAGCATAAGAAAGATATAGAGAGGGGGGGGGAAGCACATTTTGTCCGTATTTCTCAGTTACAAGAAACCAATCGGTGGTTAATTTCGAATAAATTGAAATGTCGAGATGGAACTGTCAATATTGATTTGATCTCAGCAGTGCAAGAAAGGAAAGCAAATTGCGAAGGCAAGAAGCTCACATGACTGGGGGGGGGGACGATGTGGGTTGTCCGAGGGAGGGAAAGATCGAAGTAGGAAGAGCCAACAGCAAAAAGAAAACTTTGCGCCAGCATGTCTCGTATTTTTCCTCCATTGTCAAAACATGGCTACTTCTTGATTGAATGCAAAATAAAGACAAACAATAATAAAGGCTGATTAAGAAAAATAAGAAGAGAAAAGATCGATTTATCTTAGCCAAGGATATATTAATAGAGATTATGTAAAAAGCAGAAAGAAAATCATTTTAAGGATTAAATTGTATCAAAAGTATTTTCTTTTTTTTTTACTGACCCTTTCTCCAAAGCTTAGTTCATCTACATGTACTATGCAATTCAGACCAAGAAATGCCAACATTCTAAATCGAATTTAATGTCAATATGGGGTTTTTGTTCTAAGGGAAATTGAACTGCCTTGGGGGCCAATATATCGTCACTCCACATAATACAAAAATAGACTTTGCACTCATTATTACACCAGAGCCTCAGAGAAGTCAGGTGCATCAGTTCGGTGACTTGAAAGAAAACCTCCACGTCACCAGCTTCAGATATGTACCTTCAATGGATGTCGATAGCTGCAAGCGATATATGAGCTTCAGACGTTCACACGGTCGATAACAGAAAAATATATGACCAGCAACCCGAGAAGAAAAAAGGATCACTTAGGTTTCCGCGAGAAGGAGAATCCACGTTCGGAAAAAGCCAAACAACTGCAGGACAACATTATATGACAAAGAACGGAGTTGAATAAACTATAATTATAGACAGAAGAGATCTAGTTTCTTAGTATTATTTATTTGGTGTATTATTATTATTTTTTATTTTATTTTCTTTGATTTCTGGCGTTTACACATTTCTTTCCGTGTCCCGCCCAGGGACCTAAGGTTAGAAATGGCGTCATGACACTTTCCACTGACAGAAAAAAAAATTACATAGATAAAGTCCTTCGTAAGGTGTGGGCTGTACTTGTCAGAACAATTTTTTGTATCTCCTTGAGGTATGGACTTCCAGGAATCCCTTCAATTAGTCTACTGCAATCTTTTCCAACCAGTCCTAGGGCTCCAACTACAACAGGGATTGTTGATGTTCCCATATGCCACATTTTCGAGATTTCTATTTCAAGGTCCTTGTACTTTGACAACTTTTTGAATATCTTCAAAGATACATTGCAGTCTGCAGGGACTGTCATATCAATAAGGAGGCACCGTTTTTGTTTGTGATCTTTAATAACAATATCTGGGCGGTTGGCCTTGATTGTTCTGTCAGTGTGTATTGTGTAGTCCCATTATTATTATTATTATTATTATTATTATTATTATTATTATTGTAGTTGCTGTTTTTTCTTTTTCAAATGACACTTCTACAATTGTAACTGAAACACTCTTGAAATCCACTGACCAAGCGTCAGTAGTCGAAAACTATGTCAAATGCCGCTAAACGAGTTTTTTTTTGGGGGGGGGAATAGAAAATAACTTAATAAAAACAAAAAATAAATAAATAAATAAAAGTAATTACCCAAATCAATTTCAATAAATAAATTCTATTTCCACTTTATGAATAAATTTAGCTATTTGCGTCAAATTTGATTTTTTTTTTTAATTAAAAATTATTACAATTTTCCAAATCAATTTGTTTACGGCGAAACTTTGCCATGTTGCTGATATCTGAGGTCCGTGCGCCTGCGCAATCGGACAGGAAATTGTCAATTATGCTCATTTTTAGTTATTATTTTGCATAAATTGGAGCATTAGCCATACTGGCAGTCGACAACATGAAGGAGAAAAAGGAAAAAGGAAAATAAGGACTAATATAACACGAACTAACCTAAAATTGATCATAATCAATTTTTATTTTAAAATATTGATCACGATGACTCGAAGCACGTTTCGTCTGACTCCAGACAATAATAAATTCAGTGAAGTTATATGCTTCTGTCGTCAAACCATATCACCTTCCCTGATTTAATTTTTCACAGGTCACTTCAAAAATTGCGAGTTGATTTTACGACATTCCAACATTGTGCTTCTGCTATGTGACTATGACATATTTACATTTAAATTGACGTATTATCTGCACATATTAAATTGACATATTAACTTTGACATATTTGTATTTAAATTGCAAGCTGATTTTATGACATTCCAACATTAGGATTTTACATATCAACATTGGACTTCTGCTATATAACTTTGACATATTTCCATTTAAATTGACATATTAACTTCACATATTAAATTGACATATTAACTTTGACATATTTACATTTAAATTGCTAATTATTTTTTGACATTCCAACATTGGACTTCTTCTATGCAACATTGACATATTTATATTCAGTAAATATGTATAGCTGACCATTTGTATTTGAGGACACCTGTCTACGAGGGCGGCTAGCCAATCCCTATTGCAGAAGCTTCCTCAGGCGCATTTTGTGCTTATTCAAAACCAACAGAGCCCACCTGTGGTTTATACTACTACTATGCTGAGCAGACCTTAGTTACAATTTCTGTGAAAGAGCGTGTTATCTAGTGTGATCAACAATTTGAACAATGCCAGCACGCTCAATCCCTCGGCCACGATGACTTGTGACTTTGTGCTATCACAGCTATCGACGCCCACCAAAAAAGGTTCAGTCTACCCAATTTCACTCACAAGGCTTGGATGAACCCATGCTGTGGTTTTCAGGCACTTTCCAAAGGTGCTGCAGGCTGGGATTGACTCCCTCCAGTCTGACAACATCAGGAAGTCTCCTTCCTGCCAAATCCACCATGGTGAGATTCGAACCCGGGTCTCATGGTCAGAATACAAACGTTCTAACCACTCGGCCACGTGTTCAGTAAATATATATATATAGAAATAAGTGTATGACATAGATGTCTCTTTTCATCGGATTTATATATTGAACCTATACGGTGAGGGATGGTGGAGAAATGGATAGTGGCTCAAATTGAGGAATCGGAGAGCCGAGTTCGAATTCCAGTCGAATCCATTATAACCCCCACCCACTATGAGTAAATAGCAGGACAGACTGGGTTCTATAGAGTTGGATGGCAACTGGTCTACCGCAGAAGAAATGGTAACCTACTGCTGGAAAAAATCTGCCTCATCAGTCATGTATCGAAAGATACATGATCGCCTAAGCGTGTATCACGCATGGCACATAACTGACTGAAATTCACTTGGGAAAGGTATCAATCATCTTCTACTCCCCCTAGCTATGGGTAAATAGCAGGACAGACTGGCTTCAATAACCTTGGATGGCCACTGGTCTACCGCAGAAAGAAATGACAACATATATGAAAATAACTGAAAATATTGCCTCGTCAGTCATGTATCAAAAGATACATGATCGCCTAAGTGTGTATCATAACTGACTGGCTGACTGATACGGTGAGGCGAATGTTAGAGAATTTGAAGGCCTTCATTACTGCCGATCCCACTCTTAACAACAGCAGACACAGAAAGGAAACGACAGGAACTCCTATAGAAACTCGTAGAGGAAAGCGAGAAGAAAGGACTAATCATCAATTATAAGAAGTCAGAATGCGCAGTTGTTAGCAAAAAGAACAGACCAACATGTAAAATACAAATTGGAGATACCAAAATCAAACAAGTGTAACAATTTAAATATCTGGGAAGTGTTTTAACAGAAAGTGCAACAGTGAAATCCGATAGCGAAAGATGCCTTCCAGAAGTTAAACATTGTATTACGAAACAGGAAAATCTCGTTAGAAACAGAGAGTACTGAACTGTTATGCAATATCAGTCCTCCTATGTGGAAATGATTGCTGGACAATGTCCTCACAGATGAAGGACAGACTTGAAGCAACAGCAAGGTAGCACTACAGAAGGTTTCTGAGAATATCATCGACTAAATATGTGAGCAACGACAAAGTTTTATAGAAAATGGAAACAAAAGGGATACTTATACTTAACATCAGAAAGAGACAGTTGAATTTTCTAGGGAACAGAGTGAGGAAAGAGAGCTTGGAAAAGATGATACTCACAGGACATATTGAAGGAAAGAGGCACAAAGAAAAACAACACGTAACCTACTTAACGAGTTTATGTAAATGAACGGCAGAACAGAGAGATAAAGAAAGACAAAATTTATTATAACCTAAAAAGGACAGGAAATTGTGGAGAGCTATGATCGCCAACGTCCTGAACGGACACGGTATCACGGTATATAAAAGAAGAATTTACTTTCATATGACTATTTACGAGTTAATAGCACACCCGGTAACACAAATGAACTAGGCAAGACGCCTTAAATAAAGAACTCAAAGTGAGTCAGTAGATGCCCGTTGGAGAGAATTCTAATGACTTCATGGGGAGTAGCTTAAGCGAGACATAATATTATAATGGTTAGGAAGGAGTTATAACAATAATGCACTCAGTGATGGTCGTACTCACTGCACATTAGTAATGGTCAAAATAGACAATTTTTGGCTATTCCCGATTAACGCAAATGCTTATAGAATCAACTATATACAGTCAATATTTACTTATCCCTAAGGCAAGTAAATGATTTTCTAAGCATAACTTAGATGTGGCACAAGGCCGAAAGTGTGGGACTCCCAGTGAGGATCTAACTCACTAGTCAGTCATAAGAGTTCTAGTGAGACAAGCTTGTTAACCATTACACCATTTCAAGTAAATACCTATAGACTCGAATATTAACGGACCATATCTAGCTAATCATGAACTATGCAAATGTTTACGAACTCAAATATAAACAATATTTATTTGTCCTCAAGCGAAGTAAATGTTTGATAGATTTCAAAATTTGTTTACGTTGTCTTTTGGGGAAAGACCGTTGATACTATTTTGGAATGTTCTCGCAGAAAAAGTTCCGATGCTGGCCTTTTGGTACAGCCATTTAGACTCCAAACCTATTTTGGTGCCAAGCCATGCACTTATTTCGAAGCAAAAAACCGACCGATTCAAATTACAATCTATCTATCTATCTCTCAATCTCTCTCTTACTGTCTCTCTCTTACTCTCTCTCTCTCTCTCTCTCTCTCTTAACAGACTGCTCAGATTACAGTCGACTTCTCTTTGTCTCTCCCACTCTCTCTCCCTCTCTTAACTGTCCGCTTAACCTACAGTCGACTTCTCTTTGTCTCTCCCACTCTCTCTCCCTCTCTTAACTGTCTGCTTAAACTACAGTCGACTTCTCTCTCTCTCTCTCTCTTCCCCTCTCTCTCTCTCTCTTTCCCACTCTCTCTCTCTCCCTCTCTTAACTGTCTGCTTAAACTACAGTCGACTTCTCTCTCTCTCTTTCCCACACTCTCTCTCTTTCCCCACTCTCTCTTTCCCACTCTCTCTCTCTCTCTCTCTCTTTCTCTCTCCCTCTCTTAACTGTCTGCTCAAACTACAGTTAGTCCTTAACTTCAGTTGGATTAACTTCAGGTGCGCTCCCACAAGTGTTTTGTTCTTTTGCCATCGTTTTCTCCATTATAATGACTGGGGAGGTATCGTTGAAGCGTGGTAAAAAGACATGCGCAGTTCGCTATTCTCCATTATGCAACCTCTTTCCCACATACGCAACATTTCGAACGGATCACTCCTCTATCACGATTTCCAAGTCAATTGTTCAGATGAGCACTCCATTCTTCAGTTCCACCAGTTCAGACCATTACAGCCTGTTAATTCACCTCTCCAAGGACACATGGCACAGTGGATAAAGGCGTTGGTTAGATCCAGTGACAGGACCCAAAGTGTGTGAGTTCAATACCCGGTTAAGGCAGTGGAGAACTTGGAGAGGGGAATTAACAGGAGATAACTGATAACTGACATCCATTAAACATGGCAAGTGGAACTAGAACAGTCTACCCCAGTGAGCGAAATAAAGGGTTCAGTTCGACATTCCAACCACCTGAAGAAGACCAGAGCGTACATCCGCCGAAACGTTGTTATCAATATGGCAACAAAGATGAGGACAATAGTCCGAATAATGTAAATATTGTCATTCAAATATCATCTCATCCACTTCATGAAATGGTGTTTTTATGGAATTTTAATTAACGCAATAAATGTCAAGCAACTTTGTTGCACCAGAATATTTCAGATCAAAAGTTCTGTTGTACATCGAAATGTGCAAACAAATGTCTGGTTTGCGGTAAAGTTTAATTAACAGGTTCTGTGGCGAGGGAGAGGGGAATTTAGTGTAAGAAAAAGATTCAAGTAGCCAAGAACGAAAAGGATGGAAATGAGGTTCAAAAGGAAACAGCTAACAATTGTTCAGGAATAACAATTGGTAGGTTTAAAAATGTCAAATCTCTGTCTCTGTGTCTCTCTAATCTCTCTCTCTCTCTCTCTCTCTCTCTCTCTATATATATATATATATATATATATATATATATATATATATATATATATATATGTATAACTATGAACCTAAAAGAGCCAGGCAAACCTACGTAGGTTTCACCTACGCGGATTGTCAGGGTACGCCGGCGTACCCTGACGGTCCACGTAAGTGAAACCTAGGTAGGTTTGCCTAACTCTTTTTAGGTTCATAGTTAGATTTGCTCTACTTAGTGTATTGAGCACTTTATTTAGTTTGCTTTACTCGTTCTGTTTTTGTTTTTTTTTTCTTTGGACTCTGAGCTTGGATTCTGGACGATTGTTTTCGCCTCAATTACATGTTCTTAATTCTTTCTTTTTCAGTCCCTTATTTTTCCTTGGGTATTGGTTTGTTCATTTACAAGACAAAACACCTAAGGTTTTTCCAGACGAGTATAACTATTTATCATTATTATTATCATTATTATTATTATGTGTGTGTGTGTGTGTAAGGATACCTATGTTCGAGTAAACGTTCTGTTTCTATAAACAGTATAAATTGCGTCTACCGCGAGAAAGAGAATGTGTTCTATATACACCAGGGACTAACTATCTATCTATCTATCTATCTATCTATCTATCTATCTATCTATCTATCTAAGTGGGCTAGTCATATCTATCTATCTCTCTGTCTGTCTATCTCAATGGGGTATTTATATCTATCTATCTATCTATCTATCTATCTATCTATCTATCTATCTATCTATCTATCTCAGCAGGATAATTAGACCTCTCTATCTATCTCAGTGGGCTATTCATATCTATCTATCTATCTATCTATCTATCTATCTATCTATCTATCTATCTATCTATCTATCTCAGTGAACTATTCATATCTATCTGCCTGTCTATCTCAGCGGGGTATTTCTATCTATCTATCTATCTATCTATCTATCTATCTATCTTGCAAAAATCTTCCGTGGAGCACCTGTTCTTTGATTTTCAAACATTTTTAGTTTTTATTCCTAGCAATGAATGAACTAATGGCGGTAAATTAGATATTCAGGTTGTCTGAAATTTTCCTGTAACTTTTACCTTCTTTCCAGAGCTTAACAATCAGTTCTTTTTGCGAATTTGTCAATTCCTTACTTCTTGCCACGATGATAACCTTCTTGCACAAAGATCAATTACAAAATGTTCTGTTTGTATTTGGGGGGCTAAAAATAACTACTGATAACATTATTCAAGCAGAATATTCTAGAATATTTAAGCAATTAAAAATATTAAAATCTGAAATTTGCATTGTATGAATACTTTTTTCACACATTAAAATGGATAAATGGGATTTATTTCTATTAAATTAATTATTTTTTTCTGTTTTCTATGCATCTTTAGTTATTATGCATCTGTGTACAGTTAATTATAGGAAACGTATGTTTGTTCATTAGTTGGAAATGCAATAAATTAAAAAATTGTATGTCTACGAATATTTGTTCCTCCCCCCTCACACTGTATATTGTGTCCTTCATGTCTCTCTTTATCTCAGATTTCTCTCTCTTTTCCCCCTCTTCTTTTCTCTTTTGTCTCTCTCCGTTTCTCTTAACCTCCCTATCTATTCTCTTTATCTCTTTTCTTACTTCTCTCCTCCCTTGGTCTCTCACATTCTTTCTTTCTTTCTTTCTTTCTTTCTTTCTTTCTTTCTTTCTTTCTTTCTTTCTTTCTTTTCTTATTTTATTTTACGCCATCTCTTTCTTTCATTCTCTTTCTTTTACATGCTCTCTTTTTCTTTTTCTATTTCTGTGTTTCTTTCTACACATACATTTCTTATATTTCCCTCTCGTCTCTTTCATTCCCCCCGCCCGGGTTTCTCTGTCTTTTTCTACTCTTACTCTCTCTCTCTCTCTCTCTCTCTCTCTCTCTCTGCGTCTCTTGTCCACTTTTTTCCCTTCATCATCTCTTTTCTTGCTTCTATCTTCTCTTTGACCCTCTCTCATTCTTTCTATCCTTCTTTTTCCTCGCCTCACTCTCTACCCCATATCTGTATCTCTCCAAGATATTTACTCGCTATAGATAGGGTTTTTACAGATGCCAGGCGAGGTCGCCTGGGTCAGTGATGATTCAGCCAATACAAACAACGTTTTTGCCTCTTCACCACCCAGAACCGTTTTTCCCTTGTTCCTCGAAGCAAAGGCTGTGAGATAAGATTACATTTCAAGGAATCGTTCCATCATTACAGGTTGCATTAACATTGACAGTGTCCTTTTTGTCAATCAGATCGATATTATTGTTACACTTACGACAGACGCCATCTTAACAAATACAGTTATTCACCAATGCACAGGACACAAAATCTTTCCATAAACATATTAAAGTTTCTTTAATATTATTAACGTTTAGCTATTTATTTTTTAGATGCGTTTACCATCAGCGGTATGTGGTGCTTCTGTCTGGAGGAGAAATGATGGCAATATCCACAGAATTCTTCGATTCCGCTTCTTTTTACAAGTAGATAGAGATCAAGTAAGCGCATGTCCCCACAAGACCTACGCAATAACCTCGATACTCTTGTGGGGATTTCATATCAGTTGTTGTTGCCGGTTTCCAGTGGAGACTGCAAGTTTCCTCAAAACACCAGCCGTCACCTCAATACTCTTGTGGGGCTTTCAAGCCAGTTGTATCTGGTTGTTTCTAATGGGGATCAAGTGACAGCAAGTCACTCTCAACATCAGATATCATTTCGTTATTCTCCAATTACTTCCTGTTTCACAATCATGGCTTCCGGTCATTAATGATGGCCTGATTAAAGTGGTAATTGGTTCTTTGTTACTGTCTTTCAGAAAGTATTAAATATATAAACCTAGAATGTAGCCAAATATTTAAGAGAAAACTCAGTTGCTACGTCATTATCAAATTCCGTTGTCTGTTTTTCTATAGTGTTTCTGTAGAATTCACAATTTCACTGAAATGTATGCACTGCCTTTCAGTGAAATCGTGAATTCTTTTACAAAAAGAGAACTTCCATCAACTCAATAACAAATTCCTCCAAACCACCGAGATTTGACAACGAATCTGAATCAACTAAATTATTGATTCGTCTTTGACGGTTTATCAACCTTTTCTGCGGGTTATTTAAAACCAGAAAATATATTTAGAACTTGATGAAGATAATAATGATACAAGTCATGTTACGGTTTTTTGGGGTATATACTATATACATAACTAGTGAGCGAGTCAAAATGACTTATTTCCCTTTATAGTCTACCAATAGAAGATTAACCAATCAAGAGCCGCAGAACACTGTATCCGTCGTGTATAAAGGCGGCCATCTTTGTTTTTCCTACCGGAAGGACCAGAGCCAACTTGTCAGGCGAACACGACAGAAAGAAGAACTACACTCTGCTGTGATATCCACTGCGAACCTGAACTACGCTTTCCTACTGTCTCCGAAATATTCACTGCCAACCTCTGGATTCTATACTCGAAGACGACCGTCATGAAAATGTCTAACAAGTCATACAACTTGACCCATAGCTGGGGCGGAAAATAGGTGGATTCATGCCTTTCCCAAGGGTATTTGCGCGTAAGTGATTATAACAATATCTACTGTCGAAAACGGTTAAATGTGGCCGTCTCTTCTACTCCAATTGCTTCATGTCTCGCACCTCTCGTCTTTGGAATTTCCTTCCTATTATTTGTCTCCCTGATAGCTATAATCTCCAACTGTTCAAATGTAATGTCAATCGACATCTCCAGATGCCTTGATCTATTCCCTGTTCCTTCTCTTTCTCTATCACGCCTCTTTACTTTCGCTCCCACTCTTTGTAATCCCTTGCGTGCTAGTGGCATCACTCCCTGCTTGGGGTGAAATGCTTAAAAAAAACCCGACTGGAATTAGAACTCGGCTCTCCGATATCCGATCTGAACCGTTATCCATTACACCAGACGCACATCCAAGCTTACAGAACGTGGTATTCCCAACTAGTTATCCAACTCGGTACTGACCAAGCTCGACGTTGCTTAACTTCGATGGTTGTACGAGAACCGGTGTTTCAACCTGATATGAGCGTATGCCCGACTATACGCCTAAAGAAAATCTGAAGCCCAATAATGCTGATAAGAACAAATTTCAAGATGTGCAAAAATTGAATTCCACTGATTAAATTTACAAGTCTACACAGTAATTATAGATGCTGTTCATCAAAAATAGTTTCCTTTTACTGTAATTTTTCAGCCGGTACGCTTTCTTACCTTCCTCATGTTGTCTTATATGCATACTTTTTATTGGTTCAATCATTATAATATGTTCAAGTATGACACCATATTAAGAATATGATAAGTTTGGAAACAAACAGGAAATGTTTTTTTTTTTTTTTTTAGATTTAACGTTTCACTTTCATTAGTTTCGCTTTTTCTCAGTTGATATGAAATGGAAAAGCTATACTGAATCCATTGCTAGGTCAGCTGCTAAGAAAGTTAGTTCACTGTGTCATGTGAGGCGATTTTTTCTCCAGAATCTATCTTACATATCTATAAGTCTACCATTCATCCATGCTTAGAATATTGCTACCACATATTGTCCGGTGACCCTGCTATTTACCTTGAGCTTCTTGATAAGAGCCAAAGAAGAATCTACAATATTATTAGTCCTGATCTAGCAGCTCAGCTTCAGTCACTTTCCCACCGAATGTAGCTTCCCTATGCATTTTCTATAAATACTTTCATAGTAAGTGTTTGAATGACCTTGTTTTTATTACCCACCTCCAAGACAATGAATTGTATATATAAGGACTAGTAAGGACTTTCATGGAGACATTGAGGTATTATGGTGGATGTAGTAAGAAATACGTTGTTTTGGTTTAAGGAATATTGTTATATGTTTGCGTCAGTGTTTGTAGTTAGCTTAATTTAACGTTAGCTAAGTTTAACATCCTTATTCCCATTCTCCATCTTGGCCTTGTGTCACATTTTTGTACATAGCAGAATAAATATCGCTCTTCGCCGTGGTATGTAGACTTTATGAATTTACTAGACCAGTAACAAGGTCTCAGCAATTTACAGTTGTATTGTCCAGATCAATTCTTGTATTTTGAATACATTAATCATTTGAGGAAACCTGATGCTAACCTCCAAGAAAGTGACTCGTTTCGCCTTCTCTAAGCTAACATTTTATGCAGACATCAAGTGAAAAGACTATATTGAATCCATTGCTAGGTCAGCTGCCAAGAAAGTTCTTTCACTGTGTCAGGTGAAACAATTCTTCTCAATCTATTTTACATATCTAAAGTTTATAATTTACCCATGCTTAGAATACTGCTGCCACATATGGTCCAGTGCCTCTGCTATTTACCTTGAGCTCCTTGATAAAATCCAAAGAAGTATCAGCAATATTATTGGTCCTGATCTGGCAGCTCAACTTCAGTTACTTTCCCACCATTGTAAGGTTGCCTCTCAGTGCCTTTTTTATAAATACTTTCATGTTAATTGTTCAGATGAGCTCTTGGCTCTGGTACTTGATACTTTGAATTTAGGCACAGTAATAAACGGGTGTCAAGATCTCATCAATTTAGAGTTGGGCTGGCTAGATGTAACCATAAATTCTATGCTTTAATCTGCAAAAACTTAAATGCAATGTCAGTCGCTATCCACTGTCCTCCTTATTACTCTTTCTTCTTGGCGCTCATTATTAATGTTTCTGTTCCTAATTCTTCTGCACCCTGTAACCTTTGTGTCTTAGTGGCTTTACTGCCTTGCTTATGGAACACCCTTCTGGCTGCATGCTTTCTAGCCAACTTTAATATGGAAAAATTTAAATGCCATGTTCTCGGCTATCTAATGTCCTCCTGATTACGCTTTTCTCTTCCCGCTCATTCTTAATATTTCTATTCCTAATTCTTTCACACTCAGATACCCTTTGTGTCTTAGGGGCTTTACTCCTTTGTAAAAATTTAAATGCAATGTCAATCGCTATCTACTGTTCTCCTGATTACTCCTTTCTCTTCCCGCTCATTATTAATGTTTCTGTTCCTAATTCTTCCACTCCCTGTAACCCCCTTGTGTCTTAGTGGCTTTACTGCCTTGCATGGGGTTATACTGATTTAAAAAAAATGAACCCAAGATCGGCGTTAACAGAGGCAAATGGTGGCTTGTCAATTTTAACACCTCCAAAACTAAACTCTCTATTAACCATCCGAGACCCCTCTCTCAATTCTATCGCATGGCTGATGCTAACCTCCAGGAAAGTGATTCATTGTACCTTCTCAGGCTAACACCCTCAGCTGGCATGGAGTGCAAAAACTATATTGAATCCATTGTTAGGTCAGCTGCTAAGAAAGTTGGTTCACTGTGTTGTACAAGACAATTTTTCTCTCCAGAATCTATCTTACATATCTATACGTCTACCATTCTTCCACACTTAGAACATTGTTGCCATATACGGTCCGGTGCCCCTGCTATTTACCTTGAGCTCCTTGATAAAATCCATAGAATAATCAGCAATATTATGGGCGCTGATCTCGGGGCACGGCTTCAGTCACTTTGCCACTGCCATTAGGTTGCCACACTGTGCCTTTTCTATAAATACTTGGTAACTGAGCTCTTCGCAATGGTACCTAAACTCTATGAATTTAAGCTCACTACTCGACTGGCGTCGAGATCTCATCAATTCACAGTTAAACTGGCTAGATGGAGCTGCAACTTTTTTCTTAAGATCCTTTTCTCGCACTTCTCCCTTCCGGCTCCATGCTTTCCAGCCAACATTAATCTGCAAACATTTAAATGCAACCTCAATTGCTATCTACTGTCCTGCTGATTACTCTTTTCTCTCCCTACTCAAAAATGTTTTTGTTCTTAATTCCTCCACACCCTGTAACCCATTGCGTTTGAGTGAGTCACTGCCTACCTTGGGGTGATGCCAATTAAAAAACATAATTTTGTGGGTATCTGTCTATATTTCTGAGATGAGGTATTATATACACTATTTACATTATTCGGACTATTGTCCTCATCTTTGCCACCATATTTATTACAACGTTTCGGCCATTCAGTATCTGTCTATATTTCTGAGATGAGGTATTATGTACACTATTTACATTATTCGGACTATTGTCCTCATCTTTGTTGCCATATTTATTACAACGTTTCGGCCTTTCAGTATCTGTCTATATTTCTGAGATGAGGTATTATGAACACTATTTACATTATTCGGACTATTGTCCCTATCTTTGTCGCCATATTTATTACAACGTTTCGGCCTTTCAATATCTGTCTATATTTCCGAGATGAGGTATTACGTACACTATTTACATTATTCGGACTATTGTCCTCATCTTTGTCGCCATATTTATTACAACGTTTCGGCCGTTGTACACTCCGGCCTTCTTCAGGTGGTTGGAATGTCGAACTGAATAAACCCTTTATTTCGCTTTATCCACTGTGCCATGTGCTCTTAAAGTGAATAAAGTTAGTTAGTTAGAACCAGTGACAGGATCCAAAGAGTGTGAGTTCAATACCCGGTTATGGCAGTGGAGAACTTGGAGAGGTGAATAAACAGGAGATAACTGATAACTGACATCCATTAGACATGTCACATGGAACTAGAACAGTCTACCCCAGTGAGCGAAATAAAGGGTTCAGTTTGACATTCCAACCACCTGAAGAAGGCCGGAACGTACAACGGCCGGAACGTTGTGATAAATATGGCAACAAATATGAGGACAATAGCCCGAGTAATGTAAATAATGTACATAATTTTGTCGTAACTTGGTGTTTCTTAAGAATATTATCAAGTCAAATCTCCCATGATTGGCGGGGAAGTTAATGACTTCTCCAGCTGTTTACCGTTAAGCGTACTCTGTACAATACTCTTTCTTTTACGCCGTAAGTTTTTCGAATATTTTTGAGCGTTCTCTAATTCAAAAGTTATTTCTCTCTATAAATATGGGTTACTAAATAAATATTTAAATAATACTGACGAAGGAGGTATTGAGTTATCCAGTTAAAAGTTGGCAACTTTTTATTTAAAACTTTGTAAATGACACCAATTGCGTATAAAAAATATTATGGGGACATTTAATGTAAGAGGACTCGTAAAAAAAAAAGAAAAGAAAAGCAAGAATTATCAACTCAAATTGTTGACAATTCTAACACTGATGGATATTTTCTCCAAGAAACCCAAATCAGAGGGCGTGATATTGATATGGGGGTTAGATTGCACCAGTTAATAGCTTTGAAAACAGTAAGAAAATATTATGGAAATGGTTTTGTCATCATACTTATTATAAAACCCAGGTTGTGTGTGTGTGTGTGTGTGTGTGTGTGTGTGTGTGTGCGTGTGTGTCTGTGTGTGTGTGTGTGTCTGTACGTTTATATATTGGATCGGATTTCCTACATTTTTCAACCGATTTCAACAAAACTTCACAGGACTACGTAAAATTACCTTGCGGTGGTTCTGACAGCGCCCAAAATTGGAAAAACACAATTGTTTTTGCACGAAATCAATTTGAAAACACGATTAAGAGGCATCGCGAGAATGAAAGGGGGACAACTCATATCGAGTTATACTTATTATAAAACCCAGGTTGTTTGTGTGTGTCTGTGTTCGTTTATATATGGGATCGGTTTTCCTACATTTTTCAACCGATTTCAAGAAAACTTCACTTTTTTTTTTTTGGCAGGTAGTGTTTCTTATTGTCTTGCGCACTTTTTTCTTTGTTTTTACATTCAGAATGCTTTAAAAATTCCATTTACAAGACAAATGTTTATAATAAAATTCTATTCAATCGGTAGACTCATAACGATTGAAAACAATGTTTTTGTTTGAGTTTGGATTTGACCAATTCTTAAAAAAAAAAAAAAAAAAATCTAATTAAGACATGTGTGCCCGTCAACCTTAAACAATAATCTTTGTCAATTTTATTTTTCAGTCTTTATGGTGGTCGATACTTGATCTATCTCTTACTGTTACTTCCCCGGGCAACGACGGGCTCTACTGCTAGTTAATACTAAATGAAAGAATAAGACCTATAGACGTTTGACAAACATAATTGGGTATACGCATTGAATAAACACTTT